AAAGCCGGTTCTGTAATCAGTAGGAAATCATCATCACGTGCTTTCAGAAGGAGCAGAATTTACTACACAGAGCCGTAGTTCACTGACAAGTTACGCAAAAAAATTTGTTAAGAAAAAAGATTTTATTGCGCGATTATGAAATCGAATTGCGCGATTATGAAATCGAAGAAATCGTTCGCGATAATGACAGCTGTTTGCATAGCTTCTCAGTGAACTACGGCTCTGTGAAGTAAATGCTGCTCCATCTGAAAGCATGTGAAAATACCACATTTAATAACATAAATCCTTCTGTGAGATGATGTGGCTTCTTACACAGAATAAGGCACGCAACATATTTCATAGTATTTAAGCAGTGATAAAGGCATTGCATTATAAATATATTTTATTTTAATGAAAATTATAATAATGAGAACGCAGATAAACCGTATATTGCTGTAGTCGTGTGTTTATTAGACACGTTGAATCAATGAAAGCAGTTGAATCTTCTGTTTATTCAACTGCGGCGATAGGCATTTTCTGGGTTTCTAATGCGAGGCGTATTTGGCTTTTTTTTTTTTACCTTAAACCGCATAAACACATTTAATTACACCAAATAAACAACATAATGTTCTTTTTAGCAGCATCATATGACCCCTTTAAATTATACATAAACTCATGTTACCTGCTATTTCATGGAGATGCAAGGGCCAATCTGACACTTGTTGCGTGACATGATAGTTTGCAAAGCATTTTTCCAAACTTTTCCTTTGCCTGCATGGACAGACTGCACATACATCACTCCTCCCACAGGAGAGCTGTTTATAGAAATGTACCATCACATCTCACCCAGAATGCAAGTAAGCATACCCAACAACAACAACATGTATTTGGCTTACTAAAAACATTACAGCTCCCTATTCCTACCTCATAGGGCACTTAAAATCCATTCACACTAGGCTAATTTATGAGGCCCTGTGGTGTGATCATTATGGTTGCACAGATGCAATTTTAATCCCACACAAGTTGATCATGAGATGTTCATGTGCATTCAAAATTCCCCACCAATTCCCACCAAAATCTTGTTTACCACATATCCTAAATGTTTCAGTAACTTTTTTTCTTGTAACACTGATGTCTTTATATGTTTACGTTGCACCTGATAGACTTTGGAATTTCCATTATTTGCACCTCTATGTTTCAAGCTTTGATATTGATGCATTGACACATTGACAATGATTTTTTAAAATTAAATATATTTTTAATCAATATTTCTCAATTTCATTTTTTTTTTATGGCAATGGGATTGCATTTTGCATAAAGAATACATGCAAAGCCTTAGAATTTGGCCAAAATTAGGTAATCGGGGGAGGACGAAAGGTAGGAGGCAGGAGAACTGCAAAAAAAAAAAAAAAAGGTTTATGTACTGTATGTTTATTTTTACAAATTTTTATGCAAATTGGTCTCAGTGATATTTCATATTTTATTTCCTGTTTCCTTGTAGTGAATTATCCATTGAAATCACATTGCTGTCGTCTGGCGATAAAATGATATGTATGACAGCTTAATGGTCTTTTTTTCCATGTTGTGTAACGTAACAGGGCAGCGGCACAATCTGATAGGATAAGGTGTGAGACTTTGTTCCTCAATCATCCACTGATGCCCACATGACCATAGACCACATGTCAGTCCCTGCCACAGATACCTACAAAAGAGACTAAAGACAAAAAGTTACATAGTAGTACAAGTATAGTTACATGTGCACCCAATTGTCACTTGTCAGATTGTTCTGTATAATGTCAGAAAAAATTACCTTTAGGGGTACAACAGTCTGTCACTGGGACAGTACTCCGGCCTAAAGGGACAAACTTATACCTTATCTACCCTTAAAAGGTGCATGGTAGCACCTAAAAATAAGTAGAAATATGGTACTTCAATGAACCTTTTAGGGGTACAAAGATGACCCATTAAGAGTACTTCCCCAGTGACAAGCTGTTGTACTCCTAAAGGTACAATTTTTGCTCTTTTTTTCGAGAGTGTGTGAGCTTGGTAAGATCTTCTGTGAAAGACTAAACAGGTCTTTGTCAGAGTCTAAGGCTGATGATACACTGGGCAACTTTTTGAGCAATGTTGCCGTCAACGGGCAACCAGGTGAGATACAGGGCCCACGACCAATCTAAAATATTCAGATAGAAATTTGTTACCCATTCTCAATGGGAAAGTGCCCAAGCAACATTGCTCAAAAAAAGTTGCTTTGCAAAATTGCTCAAAAAGTTGCCCTGTGTATCATCAGCCTAAGATTTATGTTGAAGGCAGATAATTAATTGTCACTATTAAGTCACACTAAGCCTACTGATTTCTCCTTACGGCAAGGGAAATCTTTAGACTACCGAAATTTTCCAAAAACGTACAATGCCTAAATGTACTTAAAAAGACAAGAATGGGTTGCACCTTCCTAAACCCCCCCTTCCTGAATGTCTAGTGCAACAAAACATGTAGACGTTAGTATTTGTGAAGTGTTGTTTGGGATGCAAGGCGCAAACGCACTGGATGGGGTCCTCAGCTGCCTTGGGTGAGGCAGAATCTTGTTGCCTCGACAAAGGGCGGGAGGTGAGGGGTGGGAGGGGAGCATGCTCCCCTCCCTCACGAACACACTCGAACACAAGCACACATACATGCGCGCACGAACACACTCACGAACACACTTGAACACAAGCACACATACATGCGCGCACACACATACACACACCCTCCTCCCCCATCGCTGCAGTGTCTCTTAACTGCCTTGGAGCTAACAAGAGGGGAAATAGCACACCGACAATTATAAGAGGAGGGGAGAGCACGACACAACGAAAGAGTGCCAGTGAATGAGTGCATGTGTGAGAGGAGAATCAGGCGGATCTGAGGATGTTGGTGATTCAGGACTAAGGGGACGGATCGCGTGCTCCCTCTGCCTCCCAAGCGAATGTTTGTCTGCAGTGTTGCTGGTGAATGGACGGCAAGCGGTGAAACGGTGAGGAAGCCTTTTCCTTTTTTTCAGTCTTCTTTCCACACACCCTTATTCCTGTTGTTACACCAAGGGTAGCTTCTCCGTTAGCGTCCTTGGGTTTGTTTTTGGCTTGGGAAGGTGAACATGAGCGTGTTTAGGACCTCAGGTAGCAGAATGGTATTTTTTCTCCATCTCGGTGAGGTGATGCTCAGGGATGATGCTAAAGCAGCTCTCCTGAGCCCTGATTTGGCTAACGAGTGCATGATTGAGGACTAAACATCTTTGATGCCTTGCCCATATACCATACCTAGTGATGCGGCTTGTGCAATGTTAAACAGTCACATATTATTGAATTTCAAATGGGGCAGTACACTAGGTGTAGTGTGTTCATGCCACGCTCTGCTGGCTTGTGAATATAGAAGGAACTGAATAAGGTGCACACCCCATGGAGAGACAGGGCTGCTGTTTCTGCTGGCAAGCCCCATGTCGATATTCTCCTTTCGGCCATACTCCTGCTGATCTTTGACTCCCACTGCTCCACGTTAACCAACGACACGTTCGCTCCCTATCGATCGCATCGATGTGTGTGCAAGAGCAGAGTTTGTGGTCCTCCCGAAGGGAGGCCCCCTTCCTTTCCCTTCCCCAGTATGTGTCATTTGAAGCATTTTTGCCCTAACTAAAATTCCTAGGATTGTTATTAGGGCAACGAGGGCGGCATAGGCTGGTGACAGGGTTGTGCATGCATGTGTGCGAGGGAACCTGCACAGGGAGGGGTTTAGGTGGCTGGAGTGAGGGGTATAATGGTGGAGAGATAGTAGGGGCAGAGGGGCGGAGGGGCGGAGGTTGATGCGGTACACAGAATGAAAGGAGAGAGAAAGATAAAATATATCCTGCGTGAACCCGCCGCAAGGAATGGATGCACAGGAAGGCCCACTGACCCATTACAAATTAAATCTCATTAAAGTCTCAATTGTTTCTCCTAGATGGCAAAGAGATTAAAGGGAAAACAAATTGCCTCTCGAGTAAAGAGAGTTTGCTTCTCTAGAGTTAAAGACTCCGATAATCCTGCACTTTATACCCTATCGAGTTTCTCAGCAGCGTCTCGTCTTCTAATACCAATTAATTTGAGATACAGCGTCCACATTGATATTATTGCTTTTACACTTACTGTACCTTAACAATAGTCACATTTGTCTACACTCTTAAAACAGGGAAATGTTACACCGATTCCATACAAGAACCATTTTGGGTTCCCCAAAGAACCTTTCAGTGAACAGTTCCTAAAAGATTTTTTTCTTAGTATCAGAACATTTTATTCAAAGAACATTTTTCCATTCTAAAGAACCTTTGTGCAATGGTAAGGTTCCATGGAACCACAGATGCCAGTAAAAAAAACTTGAGTTTTAAGAGTGCATTTTTGTTTTTCCAAAGGAATTTTAGGAGAAGCATCTGAGACAAAGTTGATACTTTAATAAGTTATGCTAGCTAAGTTCACTTCATTACAGCACAGTGGCACCTGTGCTGCTCAATAGAGTGCTAATACAGTAAAGATGTGTTAGTACTCACAAAGACAGGAAAACAGACTATGCAAAGATGAGCAGATACCGCCAGCACTCCACCCTCCTACAACCCACAAACTGACCATACTGCAGGATGATTGTGCAACATCAGCTAAGTACCAGTTAAAATTTGTACATCCTGTGTTGTCGTCTGATATGATGGCCGTTATGGGAGGCTTACTCTCATTTTGATACTGCTGCTCATTTGCTTATAACAACGCAAGGATAATCTTGGACGTCAAAACACAGGCATCAGTGTCAGTGATATTCAAACACTATAAACGTCAACAACAAAATGATCACAATGGAAGCTTAGACTCGAATGATGATGGTTAAAAATAAACTTCACAGCTTAACTCACTAGACTTTGTTTTCCAGGTAGCTCATCATCAACGGTGAACCGAAATCGTGCCATAAACAAAACCGTCTAAACCACTGAACGTCAGATTGTTATGCATTTGGGTCATGTTTTAAAAATACCTGAGCTTGCTGCTTTGATTGCAAAGAATGCATGCATACAGATTTGATCTTAATTTATATTTTACAAAAGAAAGTCATTACATTTATTATTTAGTATGTTTCTGTCACTGAAGATATGTTGAATTCAGACTAAGAGTGTTTAGTTTGTGGGGTCGTCCTACATGAGTCTAATGGAGACTAAAAATTCTGTCCATGTAAGTAAGAGTATGCTAGAACGGGATGCAGGAAAATAATGAGGAGAAAGAAATTTTAGTCAAAGTTCAAAAACGATAGGAACATTCTTGAGAGGGGAAATGCCAAAATATACACATTCTACTTTCGGAGTGAATGCTTGAACGATCATAACTGGGTTTTGGCACAACAGTAGGGGTTTGGCAAAACACCTCGCTGGTGACCTTACATGCACTGATAGCCAGCTGTTCATTAATGCTCAGACCAAATCACACATCTGCCATTGAGGATACAGTTTCTAAAGGGTACTGCTTATTAAAACAGTAATTCGTTTTATTTTTCATTCCTGGTGTATTGTTTGTGGCCCCTGACTGTTTTGCAGTCTGATGTGTGACATTTTTAAAGGTTTGTGGGTTAGTCAGATCTTTAATGATGCTAAAAAGAAATGGTGATATTTTTACAGCTCAAATGTGTGGCATGTTACAAGGATGCTACTAAAAATTATACTAATGGCTCAAAAATGACAACACAACTTTAAACTTTACTTTCAGAATTATGACTATAATATGACTATGTTTCTTCTTTGTAACGAATGATTGTTCTGGTCGCTATTTTAAATCCACTTACAATGAAAGGGGACTGAATCATTCAAAGCGGTTTTTAGGATTAACTGATTCATAAAACAATCTGACTCAACAGAGTCCTCATTCATCAGTGCTACTTCAAAGCTGTAAAGGCTTCAGATAACAAATCAAACTGACCACTTTAATTGAACTTTCATGCCTTTCTGAGGTTCCAGTCCCCATTTATTGTAATTTCAGGAACTAGTACATTATTTCAAATGTTTCCTTTTGTGTTCCATGGAATAAACTCAAACAGGTTTGGAACGATTGATCATTGCAATCTCACATATGACAAATAGTAATCTTTCGTTTCAGCTGGAGTTTCTCTTTAAGTGATATCATACTGAAAAAATGCAGCGTTCATATTGTGCAAGACTTGTCTTCTGACACAGATTGGCTGGAACTGGAGTATTCGGTGAAGTCAACTAAAAAGGGCTTTTTTCAGTGAGAGTATGGAAAATCCAACGCTCTGACAAGTTTGGGGTCAGGAGGTGACCAGGCCCTTGTTTTATGGAAACACATGTGAGAGAGGCCCTTTGTTGAATTGAAACAAGTCATTAGCTATATCCAAGTGGTTCATTTGTAAGAAGCACTGTGGAATTCTATATGATATAGGTCACATCCAAGTCTGTTAAGGTTTAAAGATGTGTTAGATTTAAAGTAAAAGCAGCTCTGGGAGAAAAGTTGCTATTGAATGTTGCCCGTAGTGTTGCCATTAGTGGAACAGGCAGGTTACTGTGAACTAAACAAACAGGCCATTTTTAAGAAATATATTCCTATCTGAATATTGAGCAAAGTCATTTCCCTTCTGAACAAGCCTTAGCTTCTTTATCATACATGATAAACAATGTATTGAGACTGTATGAATTTTTTTTTTTTACATTTTTTCACATACAACTATTTATGTATACTAGATGTTTACATTTTTCAACGAAAATGTCAATTGTGTTTGTGCAAAACTATGTTCTGGCTGGTTACTTAACTGTCACAAGTCAAAAGACTTTGGCATTTTCACTGACACCACCTTCCCATTCATGCCGAGTTTGTGTCTGTATCACCTTTACATGTTTGCGTATTGCACCTGTATGCGTGTTCATTTACAAAGCTAAGTGATTTGGCATAAAAGCACTGTTGTCATGACATCAGCAGAATGAAATGGATCCGACTGTTAATTCTGTAGTCAAGATCACATTTCTCCTGATGGGTCGACTCAGCATTGGCTTTTGTGTACAGTCGTTGTTATCAGCAGTTTGTTTCACAGCAGTTTTGCATTTAACAGAATGGTTTCATAATACTGTGTTGAGGTGTACAGAAGGAAGTAAGTTCGAGAACTGAAATGAAATGACTATTTTGGCTATGGAAACAATAGTCTATTGGACTTATTGTGCAGTAGATATACTATATCACTGCTTTATTCTTATAGATAAGAATATTAACATTAATTATAACATTTACTAATACATTATTAAAATCCAAAGTTGTATCTGTTAATATTATTTAACTGACCTCAGATAACATGAACTAACAATGAACAGTTGTTTTTTATAGCTAACGCTGACAAAGGTAAATAAATGCTTAAAAATAAAACTTTAAAAAACAAATATATTGATAATTTTTAGTTAATGTTGTAACGCTTAAACCTAATGATAACTTATTGTATATCTGTTTGTACTCTTGTAATAGTTTTTTTCTCACATTTCAAACCGTGTGAGAGCAGTGTAACATGCTATATATTTTATATAAAAATATTTTTATTAATTTTATTAAATGATTTTTTTTCTTCATTATTATACAATTTATAGACTTTTTAGTTGTATCCCTCATTAAGTGAAAAACTGTTTATATCAGAATGTATTTGTCACAGTGCAGGACTATTTATGTTAAAGGTCACATATTTTACACCTTTCTGGAGTTTTATTTTAAGTCTTGATGTCCTTAAGAATATATATTTGCTGTATAAGTACCAAAAACCATCTCAATATATTTTTCCAGCTCCTCGGTGGGGAGCTTTTATGGCAGGTAATCGCTTCTGACAGCCCTTTCTAATTAATTAATCTAATTAATATTCATGAGCCTCTCTTCTGATTGGCCTGTTGATTTCTGAGTGACGCACGGCCAGGTCAACCACAGGTAACTAAGGTCAGCCGACGTCACAGCCCATTCAAACCAGCGCAGGTTCGGCTACATAAGG